TATCTGCTACCCCAAAGAATGTTCCCCTTCCCCAGCTTTAATTGCTTATTATCTGTTTATCTTTTTCCGCCATATATTATATAACTGCATAGGTTTATCTAGAGTCTGGTCCTAGCCTCGTCACTACTTCTCCAGGGTTAGGCCAGACACTTACTAGCACATGGGGTCGGTTGTGCTGATACTACACTCTGCACTGTGTGCAGATCCTAGAGCAGCTTTCGGACAGTAATTGGAGGGCTTCCTTCAGTCCATCCGGAGACCCAAGGTAGACCTGCAGACGTTCGCGGGCCCTGGCGTCTCCCACTATCTCTATTTCCTATTTCCTTTATCTCTTGCTCAGGAACAGAACTATGTATTTTCTTCAAACTTTGTATGTAGTGACTCTTAGACAGTCTGTGGTACTGTTACACCAGATTTTGGGGTATTGAAGTTTAAAAGTGGTAATAGACGTAGCTCTAAGCTTTATAAATGTGACTTCCGCCTATTTCCTAACTTCCGCTTTATTTATATTGTCGCCCTATGTTTGTTTTAAAGGATGTAATATGGAAAAGGTAGTAGATAGTTAAGGATTGGCTTGCCTAGCTCACATTAGTAGGCGCCATCACTACTCCCGAGGGTGGGAATTCCAGGTCATGACAAGTATAATACCTGTGATGACAGAATCGGAGGCAACAACCTCGGTACGGGCAGGAAGGGCATAGTATCTAATCTAGCCTCCCCCTCTAGGGCGACCTCTACCTCCCCGACCTCTACCTTTAGCTGGCTGAGCAGGTGGGGTAGCAATTGAAGATGTAATCATAGCCTGAGAACTCTGCGGGGCACGTTGTGGCTGAGAAGGCTGTGGAGGTGCACCCCTCCCAAGTCTGGGGAAATCCCTCACCATATGGCGTGTGTCACCACACTCAAAACAATCTCTGGGAGGACGTGGTGGCTGTGACTGGCTAGGGCCAGGTCTGTTGGACTGACCTCTAAAAGCACCCCGCGTAGGAGGCACACTAGAAATCGGAGGTGCATAATAAGGCTCCGGAGATCTAGGAGGAGCTAGAGCACTACTGGCTGCTGGAAGAGCTGAATGAACAGGGCGACTCATATAACCGCTACCATGACAACCTGCAGCTGGGGTACGGGCACCAGTATAATGGCCCGACTCTTGAGACCTCTTGGCCTCCCTCTCCTCTCTCTCCCTAGCATGCATACCCTCAATCCTCCTAGTAATGCTCATCACCTGCTGATAAGAAATATCCATCTCCAACTCATGAGCCATGCTAGATCTGATGGTGGGAATAAGGCCCTCAATAAACCGGCGAACCCTCTCGTGAATAGTAGAAACCAAGGCTGGTGCATGCCTAGCCAAACTGGGGTAACGGACAACATACTCTGAAACAGTCATAGCACCCTGGGGCAAATGCTCAAACTCTATGCGTCATGCGTCCCTGAGGCTCTGAGGGACATACTCGCTCAGGAACAGATCTGAAAACTGAGCCCAAGTTAGTAAAGCCACCTCATCTGGACTATCTAACTCATAGGTGCGCCAGCACTCATAGGCAGCTCCTCGACGCTGGAAGGTAGTTAAAGAAACCCCGCTCGATCCTGAGATACCCATGGTACGGAGAATGCGGTAACACACATCAAGAAATCCTAGAGCATCCTCTGATGCTAGACCACTGAATACAGGAGGCTTGTACTTCTTGAACCTCTCAAGCCTCAGCTGCTCGTCCTCGGAAGGCGCTGCCCGGTCCTCGGGCTGAACTGGCACTGCAGGTAGTACAGGAATAATCTCAGGGACCTTGTCAACATGCGCTTGCTGGTCAGCTGTGCGGGCGGTGGGAGTCTGTGCTCCTCCTCTAGCCTGGGATTTGGTTGTGGCAAGGGGAAGCAACCCTGCGTGAGCCAAAGTAGTGTACATGCTTATGAATTGTACCAAAGTCTCTTGAAGAGCTGGAGTAGTAGTAGCAGTAGGCGTGTCAGGTGCCTGGACTCCGGCTAGATCTGCTGGTGGTACCTCGGCGACAGCTCGTGCAGGTGCTCTGGCTGTACTATGTGTGCGACCCCAGCCTCTGACGGCTGCAGTAGGGGGAGCGGGTGCCTGATCATCTCGAGTAACACGTTTCCTTACCATCAATGAGAGAATAGAAGACAGAAGCTTAGAATTGTGATGTCAAAATATCACATGACAAGGAAATCAAATGAAGTGGAAATTTTCCTAACAGTTACATAGCCTCTCGTAGATAAGTACAGACGTCTCCGTACCGATCAGCGAAACTCTAATAAACCGACTTGTGATCCATGACTCCTATGAACCTAGAGCTCTGATACCAACTTGTCACGGCCCTGGTTCGCCCTCCGTGAACTATCGTGGCGGCACCTAGTCTCTATGACTAGGTAAGCCTAACAATGCGGAAAAAATGATCTAACTTACGGAATAAATAATTAAAAACCAAAAATAACTAAAGGAAACAATATTTAAATGCCGCTCGGCATATACACATAACTTCTCAAAATTTGATACACTATCCCAAAACCTAGAAACTCACGGATCCACAAGCTGAGAAAATATTACATAGCTCTAATCTCCGGAATTGTCTAACAAAACAAAAGTACAGAAGGTCTAAATACTAAAATGCAGGAATAGAAAGAGACTCATCGGTCTGCGAATAAGGAAGATATACCTTGAAGTCCCGTAGAATTGCCTTGCCTCAAGAATGGTAAGCCTGAGTAGAGGTACCTTGATCTGCACATGAAAATCATGCATAGAAGGGCATGAGTACACCACAGCGGTACTCAATAAGTGCCAAGCCTAACCTCGGTCGGGTAGTGACGAGGAAGGTCAGGGCCTTACTGAGGTTAAACAAAATAATAAGTTTCAAATGTATAAGACAGAACAGTATAAATAAGCACAGCAATGAAAAGAAAACAGAATATACAGGATAGCAACAACTACACAGAAACGAGGTAAACACGGAAGGAAATACAACACAGCACCAATAGTAACAAATCAGGGATCTCCCAGGATACCGTCCTGTAGTACCTGTTATAACTGTCTAGTGGATCTCCTGGGATCCCGTCCCATAGTCCAACTATTAATGCGTGGGGATCTACCGGAATCCCGATCCGTAGTCCCAAATGATATACCCAGTACTAGGGAAATCTACCAGGTGTATTCCAGTAGTTCCATATAACTGTGCAAGGGGATCTACCGGGAATCTAACCCGTAGTCCCAAAGTAAACAGACAAGGGGGAGCTACCGGAATCCCACATCCGTAGTCCCAATATAAATACACAGCAACAGCAAGAAGATATTCAGAAATGGAAATTTCATATCAATGCACCAAGTAATTCTAGCCTAGCATGATGCACGGAGTTCAGGTAAAGCAGGTTGAACAAATTAGGCAATGAAATCATTTTGACATGCTTTTCCTAAGCTAACAACAGGTTTAATTGCACAAGTAATGAAAGCGGGAAAAAGGAACATACTAGTGAATACTTAATGAAAAATGGATTTCTCAATAATTTGCACAAGTACGAACTCGTCACCTCACGTACAAGGCATTTCAATTACCAAATATACCAATCCTAAGGGGAAGGTCCCCCACACATGGTTAGACAAGCCATTTACCTCGAACCAACTCAAAATCAACTCGACACCACGTCTTTGCCACGAGTACTCGACTCCAGATGGCCCAAATCTATTCAATTCAATTTCATAATGTAAATAACACTTCAAGCAACTGATTCTGCAATTAAATTCTAAGCTAATACGTGAAATTATGTAAAATGACCAAAATGCCCCCTCGGGACCATATCTCGGAATCGGGTGGAACTTATATTTAACGAAATCTCGTACTCTCACGAGTCTATACATAATAAGAACACTGAAATCGGAGTCTAAATATCCCCTCAAATCCTTATTTAAATGCCTATTAAACTCAAGCCCTAATTACCCATCTTTCTCAAATTTCTCACCACTAATTAGATATTTAATCACATAAAAATTAGTTATGAAGGATGTTACCTCCAAGTGATTCCCCTTTGTTTTCCTCAAAAATTTCGCTTAATAGCTTCAAACCCGGATGAAAATGGTGAAAGAATCCCTCAAATTCGCGAAGGCAACTATTTATATGTTCTGCCCAGCAATTTCCGCCTTTGCAGCTAGATGCGGTCCCACTTCTGCGGAGACTTCGTCGCATCTACGACTTTTCATTAAATGGCCAATTTCCGCACCTGCGGTCTCCAACATGCAGATGCGGTTCCGCTTCTACGGAAAAACCCTCGTATCTGCGGAACCTGCTGGCCTCCCTCCATTTCGGTTCTGCGGCATCGCATCTCCGCAGATGCGAAAATACCAGAAGCGGCAAAAATACAGCAGCTGCAACATTCATCAAACTTCCCGTTAACCATCCAAAATCACCCCGAGGCCCCCGGGACCTCAACCAAAGGCACCAACATATCCTAAAACCTTATTCAAACTTGTATCAATCTTCAAAACACTTCAAACAATGTCAAAACAACCAAAACACATCGAATTCAAGCCTAAGTTTTTAAAATCTTCCGAATTCCGCTTTTGATTAAAAACCCAACCAAACCACATCCGAATGACCTGAAAATTTGCACACACATCCCAAATGACATAACGAAACTATTGCAACTCTCGGAATTCCATTCCGACCCTCGTATCAAAATGTCACTATCGAACCGGAAACTTCAAAATTTGACCCTTCGGCATTTCAAGCCTAAATTAACTACGGACCTCCAAATCACCATCCAAATACGCCCCTAAGCCCGAAATCACATAACAGTGCTAACGGACCATCAGATTTCCATTCCGAGGCCGTCTTCACACGGTTCTGACCACGGTCAACTTTCCAACACTTAAGCTCTCATTTAGGGACCAAGTGTCCCGAAACTCAAAACTGAACATCCCGGAAAAGATACTTCAGAAGAGGAAGATTAATATAGCGTGTGTCAAGGACACTAGGTGGGTTGGATCAAGGGCGAAAAACATGGATGGGTATAAACTATGGTACTCTGGAGTCCTGAGGGGTAGGAATGGAGTGGGTATCCTGGTAGATAACCATCTTAGAGATTCGGTGGTAGAGGTTAGGCGGGTGAATGATAGACTAATGACTATTAAATTGGTGGTGGGTGAGTGTACTTTAAATGTCGTTAGCGTGTACGCGTCGCAAGTAGGCTTGGATGAGGAGATTAAAAGGCATTTTTGGGAGGGGTTGGATGACATCGTTCGTAGTATTCCGCCTTCGGAGAGGTTATTCATAGGAGGAGATTTCAATGGTCATATTGGGTCGTCTGCAGTTGGTTATACTAAGGTGCACGGCGGCTTTGGTGTCGGAGAGCGGAACGGAGGGGGCACTTTACTGTTGGACTTTGCCAAGGTATTCGATCTAGTGATTGTGAACTCAAGTTTTCCGAAGCGGGATGAGCATTTGGTTTGTCACACCTCCTTTTTCCGCCCCGCGAGGGGTGAAGGAGTTTTTCCAATTAAAGGACAATCGAAACGGGATTTGTTTGTTTATTTCAGAGTCGCCACTTGGGAGATTTAGGGTTTTCCAAGTCACCAATTTAATCCCGAATCGAGGAAAGGAATGACTCTGTATTACAGTCCGCGAACCAGAAATCTGGATAAGAAATTTTGTTAACCCGGGAGAAGGTGTTAGGCATTCCCGAGTTCCGTGGTTCTAGCACGGTCGCTCAACTGTTATGTTCGGCTTGATTATCTGATTTTATGAAAATATGAACTTATGTGTAGATTTTAACTCTTTACCGCTTTCATTATTATTTATTATTATTTTACGGGGAAAACTCCTGGAAACAGCCTCTCTACCCTTCGGGGTAGGGATAAGGTCTGCGTACATATTACCCTCCCCAGACCCCACTTGTGGGATTAAACTGAGTCGTTGTTGTTGTTGTTGTATTATTTTACGGGGAATTGCAACGTTGTAAAAATGTATCTCGAACCGCGTCACAATCAATGTACCCGTGGTCGTTGACACATTTTGACTCCGCTGAGATTTGGATTTGGGTCACATAAATGTGCACCCGAACTTAAGAAAATTAAATTATTAAAGGCGTGCCTAAAGCTACTAGCGTATCATTTACTTTTGGGTAGGGCCGTGAAATTTTACTAAACGGTCCATCCCGAAGTCTAAACCTTTTTTTAAAAGAAAATGTTTACTGAGGGCCCCGCAATTTTTAATCGACGAGGCTCATCTCATTCTTATTTTTTAAAGGGATTTGCAACGTCATGGACACGCATCTCAAGCCAAGTCACAATCAATGCACTCGTGGTTAGAGACACATTTCGATTCCGCTGAGATTTGGATTTGGGTCACATAAATATGCACCCGAATTTAAGAAAGTAAGATTAATAAAGACGCGTCCTAAAGAACTAGCGTGTTGTTATTCTGGGTAAGGCCGTGGAGTTCGCTAAGCGGCCTATCCCGAGTTCTAAGTACTTAACACATACATTTTTTGTGAGGGCCCCGCAGTCTGTGCGTTTTATCTGGCGAGGCTCGTCTCATTTTTATTTAAAAGGTCATCCTATAGTGGCTAAGTTTCCTATTGAGTTTGTCTCGAATAATGAAAGAAGAACAACGATTCAACTTTATTTACATGCTCACAAGTTAGTTATAGTCGGGTTCCTAATATGATTTGCAAAATCCGCACATGAACGCGTATAGGGGCAGTCATTTAGATATTACGGGCCCAGGCCCAATGTGCATAAAGTTAGACTCGGCCTGGGCCACCCTTATTCCAATTGGGCCTATTCAACTTATTTGATGTATGTTTGACATTTATAAACAGGGGGAAAACTGAAATGCGATGTATTGCTTGCCTTAATCAGGCCATATTCCTACCAACTTAAAACAGGTGATTTGTTTAAAGAAGGAACTATTGGGTACCTAACATGCTTTAAAACAATAATGAACTAATAGAACATGGCTACTACAACATTAATCCTTTTCAATTATAAGAAACACATAGAGTTTTCCAAGTAAATGATCGGTATAAAAGTTCAATTACATCACAGCTAACCACATAATTCTATTAGGGAAAGTAAACTATCATGCAGACAACCTATTTTCAATACATTTCTAAAGCTAATTCGAAATAACTTCAACTCTTCCAATTTTCTTTGTATTCATGCTTCAAATTTCAGCTTACATAGACAGTGTATTAGTCGTGTACCTGGTATAGGAAAGCAAAAGAAGAAGGGGAATGATCAGTAGAGCAGTATGCAACAACACAGCAATAGCATAAAACAGCAACACACTCAGTCGAACAGCCCCAAACCAGTAACAGTAAAAGGGACAGCCCAAAAAAACAGACCAAAGCTTAGCAGCAATTTAAGAGAAAACCTGGCCAGCAATTTCAGAAAACCAAACAAACCCAGCAGGAAGAACCAATGCTAACAATAACCAATAGACAGTGCAAATTTTTGAGTACTAAACAGAAAAGACCTCTTTTATCTCTCAAACTACTCTTTTAGCTTTGGAAAATCAGCTCAACTTTCAACTTATTTCTGACTTGTGAAGGTTCAGAAAAACAGCAGCTGAAAGCTTTTCAAATTCTAAAATCTTAATGTTCAGCCTTAATATCTGATTTTTCTAACCTCTTAACCTCTGATGTCTAACCCCTTACTCTACCTTAAATGAGCTTATTTATAGGCAAAATACAAGCAAGCCCCAGGCTGCCTCGTTTCCCCCAGCCCTCAACTCTGCCCATACCCCTTTATTTCCCATTAACATGTGTTTTGTGCCCCAATAGTATGGGAAGCTGACAATCCTCAATTACCCCCATGCTACCAAGTTTTGTTCCCCACTATTGTATTAGTTTAATCCTATTTTAGTACCCTACTGTCAGCCCACTTAAACTAATCATTTCTGATCTTTTCATGCCCCCAAACTACCCCTATTAACCCCTGGTTATTACTGTTTTACCCTGCTTCAACAGCCTGAGATTTTGAACTTCTGAAAGTTC